GTACCAGAGTCCTTATACTTTGCAGGTCTTGGCATGAAATTTTAATCCAAGCTTGTGAGTTTGGACTCTGGTATACAAATACTCCCAAAGCAAAAGTGGCCCTGAGTTCAGGACTCACCTCTCTAGATTTCCATCTTTGCCCAATTCTTGTCCTATAGTTACTTACTATCTTGTTTGCTTTCTGATACTTTTGAATTTATTTTTTCCTTTTGGTTTGTTTTGTGATTTGATTTTTGTTCAACATTTTAAGTAGCCATTGGTGAGAAGATTAGTCTGAATCACCTACTCTGCTATTTTCAGAAGCAGAAACACCTAACTTTATGTTCTTCACATATGATTTTACCATCCTGTTCCCTCTATTGATTTTGGAGAGACTCTGTAGTTGCCCTATCCAATGTAGTAGCTCCTAACAACATATGACTGTTGAGCACTTAAAATGTAGCCAGTTTGAACTGAGATGTGCTGCGATTATAAAATATATACCAGATTTCTAAGACTTACTACAAATAAAAATTAAAATATTTTATTAATAATTTTTATTTATTTATTTTTATTATTATGTTTTAAGTTCTGAGATACATGTGCAGAACATGCAGGTTTGTTACATAGGTATACACATGCCATAGTGGTTTGCTGCACCCATCACCTCATCATCTACATTAGATATTTATCCTAATGCTATCCCTGCCCTACCCCCTCACCCCCCAACTGGCCCTGGTGTATGATGTTCCCCTCTTGTGTCTGTGTTCTCATTGTTCAACTCCCACTTATAAGTGAGAATATGTGGCATTTAGTTTTCTGTTCTTTTGTTAGTTTGGTGAGAATGATGGTTTCCAGCTTCATCCATGTCCCTGCAAAGGACATGAACTTATCCTTTTTTATAGCTGCATAATATTCCGTGGTGCATGTATGCCACATTTTTTTAATCCAGTCTATCACTGATGGGCATTTGGGTTGGTTCCAAGTCCTTGCTATTTTGAACAGCACTGTAATAAGCATATGTCTTTATAGTAGAATGATTTATAATCCTTTGGGTATACACCCACTAATGGGATTGCCGGGTCAAATAGTATTTCTGGTTCTACACCCTTGAGGAATCGCCACACTGTCTTCCACAATGGTTGAATTTATTACACTCCCACCAACAATGTAAAAGTGTTCCTGTTTCTCCACATTCTCTCCAGCATCTGTGGTTTCCTGACTTTTTAATGATCACCATTTGAACTGGAGTGAGATGGTATCTCATTGTGGTTTTGATTTGCATTTCTCTAATGATTGGTGATGATGTGCTTTTTTTCGTATGTTTGTTGTCTGCATAAATGTCTTCCCTATTTAATAAATGGTGTTGGGAAAACTGGTTAGTCATATGCAGAAAACTGAAACTGGACCCCTTCCTTACACCTTATACAAAAATTAACTCAAGATGGATTAAAGACTTAAATGTAAGACCTAAAACTGTGAAAATCCTAGAAGAAAGCCTCGGCAGTACCATTCAGGACATAGGAATAGGCAAAGAGTTCATGACTAAAAAAGCAAAGGCAATGGCAATAAAAGCCAAAACTGACAAATGGGACCTAATTAAACTAAAGAGTTTCTGCACAGCAAAAGAAACTATCATCAGATTGCACAGGCAACCTACAGAATGGGAGAAAATTTTTGCAGTCTATCCATCTGATAAAGGGCTAATACCCAGAATCTACAAGGAACTTAAACAAATTTACAAGAAAAAAACAAAAAACCCTGTAAAACTGGGCAAAGGATATGAACAGATACTTCTTAAAAGAAGACATTTATTAATAGTTTTTATAATCACATATTAAAATAGTATTTTAGCTATATTAGGTTAAATAAAAATATTATTAAAATTAATTTCCCTTGTTTCTTTTTATTTATTTATTTTTGGGGACAGAGTTTAGCTATCGTTGCCCATGGTAGAGTGCAGTGGGGTGATCTCAGCTCACTGCAAGCTCCACCTCCTGGGTTCTAGTGATTCTCCTGCTTCAGCCTCCCTAGTAGCTGGGATTACAGGCACCCACCACCATGCCCAGCTTATTTTTTGTATTTTTAGTAGAGACAGGGTTTCACTATGTTGGCCAGGCTGGTCTTGAACTCCTGACCTCAGGCAGTCCACCTGCCTCAGCCTCCCAACGGGCTGGGATTACAGGCATGAGCCACCACACCCAGCTTCTTTTTACTTTTTTAATGTAACTTTTGAAATTTTTAAATTACATATATGATTTGTGTTTGTGATTTACATTATATTTCTGTTTGATGGTGTTTGCTATGTAATAAAGTAGTTAAGAACACAAGATATGTGGCCTGGATTTGATTCCTGCCTACCACTCACTAGCAATGTAATCTTGGGCTACTTTTTGAACTTCTTGTTTTACTTTTCTCTTCTGTGAAATGAGAATATAGTAATATCCATTTCAAAGATATGTTGTGAAGGGAAAATAAAAAATGTAAAGCAGTCAACACAATGAATAACTTTACGTGTTGATTAAAATTTAGCCGTTATTTATGTTTTTGTTGTTGCTATTATTATAGTATCAGATTTTATACTTTAGTGGGCTTTTTCTTTCTCTCCCTCAAAACTCTATTACCCCATTACTCATAGTCATAGAGTTCTTAGCTGGATACTGTAATTTGACTGGGGACAGACATATATACAAATTATATAAGAGAGGAAGATGTCACAAACAAATGCTCATTAGGTTTGGCTGTAGAAAATTTTTAATGCTTCTCCAAGATAATATTACCTAAAATATTTCTGTTGACTGTGTGGCAACTGTATAACCAAGCTTTATAATTGTGGTCCAGAAAATAATCACACAGCCAGGAAGTGATGGTGTGTTGTAAACAGTTTTGTTCTGGGATTTGAGGACTGGGCCGTCATCCTAATTTTGCCACTGTGTTTGTCTAGACTCCAGTTTCCTTATTATAAAATTATGAGGTTAGATTAGGTGCTCACCTAGGCCCCCTTTAAGGTTATATAATTTTAACATATTAATACGTACATTTTCAGATATTTTGAATCTACAGTTTAATTAACCTTAGGTTTTTCAGCTCATATTAGAATGGTAAGAGACTGAAGATAAGGTTATAGGAAGTACAGAGTCATGGTAAGATAGAGGGACAATTTTTTCACCCTCAAAAATCTTAAAAGATACTTTTGGTTGTAACTAAATTAGTTTTTTTTTTTTTTTTCTAGAATTGATTTTTTTTTTTATTTTAAGGCTTATTAAGCCTCTTGGATCTGAGGTTGATGTTTTCAATTAAATTTGAAAAACTCTTAGCCAACATTATTTCTAGAATTGACTTTAATTTTACTACAGCAAAAGGGAAATTTAGATTGTATTATATTAGGATAATATATAGATAGGCATTATGATGGTAGTTTAGTTGGAAGATTGCTGGCCCTATAGGAATACCTGGGTTTTAACCCCAGTTTTGCCACTAGGTAACTAAATCCTAAACAGATTTTTTTGTTTTGCTTTTTCCATATGTAATAATTTGGACTGTAATAGTGTAACACCTCACTCAGAGTATACATTTGAGAAATTAAAGAAATTAATACTTATTGGTCTGTCTACCGTATAGGATTTACATTAACATTCGTGAAAATACTTTAGGGAAAATAATTTAAAATACATTAATAGACATATAGCTTTTTTGAAACATCTTACTTTGATTATTCTTGTAAAACTGTTCTATTTAATCTTCAAGGGATAGTTTCTTTGTTTTCAAAGTATAGACCATTGAGAAAGAGAAAGCTCCCCAGTGTATTTTATGAAGCTAGCACAACCTTAAACCTGTTAAAATGAGTTTAAACCTAGTAAAGATAGTAGAAGTACACAAACTGTGTATGTGCACTTGCGTGTACACACACACACACACACACACGTGCTAAAGTTCCAAATAAAATACTAGCAAATGAATTCAGCATTGTATTTTAAAAGTATATATATTGACTAGAAAGGAGTTATCCCAGGAATGTAAAGATGACTCTACACCACAAAATCTGTACATAATTCATTATAACAATATATTGGAGGAAAATTTATGACTAAGCCAGTAGGTATCTCTTAAGAAGAAGGAAAATCATTTGATAAAAATCTGAACAACTTTATTCATAGAGAAGTGCAGAGTAAAGAACAGTAAGATAACACGCAGGACTGGCATCATGTGGAGAAATAGGCATTCATACTTTGGTACTAGTGTGAATTGAACCTTTTTGGGAAAAAACAATAGCTTCTGAAATAAAAATGCACATTATCATTTGAATATTCCAGTATCTGGGAGTCTTTCGTACAAAAAATAATATGTTTATATTAGTATGTACCATAATGTTAATATATACTAATATAGTAAATTAGGACTTATTGCAAGGATATTTGTTTCATAGTTTGTAATAACTAAAAATTAGAAACAACATGAATGACTGTTAATCACCAAAGGAATGATTAAGTAAGTTATTCTACACTTACACCATGGCATATAGTGCAACCATTGAGCAGGAGGGATATCCATGATGATACTGTCAAGTTGGGTATGGAATGACAACTTATAGATTACCGTGTGTAATGTAATCCATTTTTTTAATAAAAAGGGAGAAAACTTATATATGTTAAGTGTGTGCATGAGCCATGAGAAATTTGTGGGAGGATTGGGTTAAGAGAGTGGGTGGGATAAGTAAAGTGAGAAAATCATTTTTATTTCATGTGTTTCTGCAGTGTTTGATTTATTGTGAAGAGCATTTGTCTTTGTAATAATCACATTTAATGAAGGAAAAAATGCTAAATAAATTCAAAGTATGAGGATGTGGGTTCCAAAATTGCCGGATTTGGCCAGCCAGAGACATGGAAAATGTATTAATGCTACACCTTCTATTGTGGAGACATTTGTAATAATTTCCATCCACAACTATTATAACATTACTTTTGAAAAGAAAGATATTTTATACTAAGAAATGGTGGCATTAATGCTTTTTTCTTTTATAGCAACTCCGATCCAATATCCGAGAAATTGAGAAACTTTGTTTGAAAGTCCGAAAGGATGACCTAGTGCTTCTGAAGAGAATGATAGATCCTGTTAAAGAAGAAGCATCAGCAGCAACAGCAGAATTTCTTCAACTCCATTTGGAATCTGTGGAAGAACTTAAGAAGCAATTTAATGATGAAGAAACTTTGCTACAGCCTCCTTTGACCAGATCCATGACTGTTGGTGGTAATGTATTGTACTAAGTCTTATTCTCAATTACAGTAATGCAGTTAATTAAAGCTCACCTCCTTGAGTAGATACTGATTTATCTATAGGTCTTCTTGGATCATTCACTGTCCCAATATGCTGACTCCTTGGACCCTGATCACTGTGCCTGGAAATGTGTACCCTGGATATTTTGCAGAATGAAAAATCTGAGGCTATGCTTATGGAGTGGGACTTCAGGGCAAGTTCCCATTTGTCTATGTATTGAAGAGAAATTTAAATATATTTCCTAAGCATAATGTCATTCTTGTCTGCAGAGTACTCTTCACTCCTTTCCAGGTGCAGGGATGACCTCTTCAGGCATACATTTTTTCATAAGCATTCTGGTTTTCAGAGGGGATGTTAGATCTGTTTTTCAACCAAGTTCTCTGAATAACTGACAACATTAAGAAATCTACAATGGGAGTCAAGCCATCATCTTCTGTGAAGTGATACTCTAAGGAACAGCCCTGTGAAATTTGTCATTACATCTCTTCTAAGGATGTAACTGATAATTGCCAATCATATGATAATAATGTCTTTAACTCTGAAAATATTCTTGGCTTAATACATAGTAGTTCTTCAAAGTAGTTGATCTTTTTTTATCTTTTAGATATTGGATGGAATAACTGATAAGGTTTTCCTACTGATAAGGTTTTCCTACTTAAATTGTTTACTAGAAAGCTTACAGCCAAAATTTTAGCCACCAAAAGTCAAATATTTAAACCTATTGTAGCTTTGTTTTATAACTACTGCCCTTGTTTTCTTTTTTGTTCTCTTTTATTTGTAATTTGTCTCATCTTCTTATATTTTATAAATTATTCTAAGCAACCTTTAATCCTATGGAAAAGATGGAGTATAAAGAAGTAAATTACAAATTAGAATAGAAACTTAGAGATGTTACACCTGCCCATTTTTTCTCTTTTTATTTACTCAGAGCACTCCTGTACCACTCACTATCTCCAAAGCCATATTATTTTTTATTTTATATTTTCAGTGCTATATTTATTTTATTATCTCTCTATAAATGACTGGGTCATTTATAGAGAGAGAAAAACTGTTGGAAGAAACATTTAGGCTACTGTTTAGAGTTTCTGGGTAATCTTGCTTTTGTTGCAGCCTTAGTACCTAGCACAATGCTTGACACATAGTGGACCATTCATAAATGTTTTATAAACATAAATAAATAAATATCTTCTTAGAGACAATTTTGTAATTTCACATGTGCCATAATCACCTCACTCTGTGGATAATCAGTACCCTAAATGTTTTTGAGAGGAGATGCTAGCACTCAATCCTTGGTTGAAAAGTATTTGGAAAGAATGCTTTTTGATAGCTTGTAGTTACCATTTCATTATTCCGTTCACCTGTAGTTATCGTTGCCATATTGGTGAGGTTGAAGGCTGTTATCACTTAGTGCAAACTGATGCTTTATGTGCACATGTAGAGAAACTGGGTTTTATAGTTCTGTGTGATTAAGGGCCCATCTTATGTACCCAGACATTATGGTAGTTATGATGGTAGTAATAACTGTGAAGATAAGCTGGATTTTCTGGAAGGAGTAACTAGAATCAGTCTCTTTGCTGTGTAGCTTTCAATTAACTATCTCTAGCAACTCCCCTATTCAAAGAAAAATTTTAAGTTCTGAGAGTTTTCTCACAATATGATAATACCCTAATACTTGCTTTAATTTGCATTTTATTATTGCATTATATGTGTTTCTACCAGTAGAACTGTTTGGGGTCAACAACTTTGGGCTTATATATCATCAGAGGAATTGCGTGATTATTATCATTAATAGAAGAAGGCAGCTTTCCCAGTTTACTGGCAATTAACATTCTCTATAAGAAGCTGATTGGTGTAAAAAAAAAAAAAAAAAGTTGGGCAGATTTTGAAGAAGTGTGTGCATAAAGGAAGTGAAAACATTGGAGCAGAGCCAGAGAATGAGGGAGAAGAAATAGCAGGTGAAATTCGCTTCCCAGTTCTCTTGATTCTCAAACTTCTGAATTCACCAAATAGGCTACTAAAGGCCTAATTACTAGGAGAAAACTACAATTTTTTTTTTTATTTTTTTATTTTTATTTATTTATTATTTTTTTGGAGACGGAGTTTCGCTCTTGTTACCCAGGCTGGAGTGCAATGGCGCGATCTCGGCTCACCGCAACCTCCACCTCCTGGGTTTAGGCAGTTCTCCTGCCTCAGCCTCCTGAGTAGCTGGGATTACAGGCACGCGCCACCATGCCCAGCTAATTTTTTGTATTTTTAGTAGAGGCGGGGTTTCACCTTGTTGACCAGGATGGTCTCGATATCTTGACCTCGTGATCCACCCGCCTCGGCCTCCCAAAGTGCTGGGATTACAGGCGTGAGCCACCGCGCCCGGCCCTACAAAATTAAATCTCTGTAACTAGTATTGATTTCGTTGAGATAGTCATTCTATTAATAAAATCGATACCTAGGTTATACCTAAAACAGTGTATAGAATTTCGAATTCTGAATAGTCTGCTTGTCATATTGTGCTTTCACTGTGAATCCATAGCCAACATAAAGCAATTAAAAAACTACTGTCTCACCAAGTGCCCAAGTATTTCACCAAATGTGAGAAACATTTCTACTATATTGTCTCAAATCCAGAAATATTATTAATAAATCATCAAGAGGATGGGAAAGGAAATGAATAATTAAATGAAAGCAAGTAGCTATTTACATAATACTTTAGTAGTGGGTAGGAATTGAGTTTGCTCCATATTTGGTCTTCTTCTAGCTATAGACTGTTTTTGTTATTCTACATGTTTTTATTCTGTGCTCTCCAGTTTTTCCTTATTTTTGCTTTAGATACTCATTATAGTAGCAACAGCCTATATGGAAAATCTGTTTTATTTCATAGAAGTTAAGTGCCTTAAAATACTTTTTACTTTACAAATTCAATCTGATTCCAAATAAATTGGTTGGAAACATCAGCAGAGATTCAGGAGCAATGTTGCCACATTTTCATGAGTATGATCAAAAATATAAAAATAGTTTTTCATTTACAGATAGAAATAACAAGTAGAACAGGACATTTTATGTTCTCTGGAGAATGAAAGAAGCTTATTAAGTTTTGGGAGAAGCTGTGATGATTTTGCTGTGTCTTTTGTCCATATTCTGAGAGTTCAAAGCAAATCTTCTCTGCCAATCTTCTTGATCTGAGAAGCTTCCTTCTGTCTTACTTGTGTGCCTGGTTTCATTTTTAGCATATTGCTTCCCACCAAGAGAAGTGAGGAGCTACAAATCTGATTTGTATTTAGAAAGATGATTCAAGTCGTTGAGCGAATCAATGGTTCTCTCCATTTTTGTCTTTCTTTACTCTCAGGACACACACTTCAGCAGTGCAAAAGGAACAGAATCTTATTACATTTTAAACAAATATTCAGAAAAGAAAAGAATCTAATCTTAAAACTGCTGGGAACTTCAGACCAGCATATTGAATTTGATGAAATTTAGATTTTTATCATAGGTATATACATGCACTGAAACAGTTTTGTGAAACATGTAAATGGTTTCTATTATGTGATTCAAAAGATGTATTTTCTACTGGTTTTAACTTTTTTAAAGTCTTCATTTGCAGCTAAGTTAGCCATGCTTAGAAGTAATTTAATTTTGATAGATAGGCTTATGTAGATGATCAATAAATTAATTTCACTATTTTTAAACTATCAGAACTGGAAAACATTTCAGGAAAGCTTTTGAATTAATTTAGATTTATAACAAAACTTTTTCTTATGTGGTGAAGTCTAGTGGAAATTTTTTATATATTATAATTCTTGGTGAAATGATTGCTGTTCATAAAGTATGGAGAAAGAGGTAGAGAATATTTGGATATATGTAAAAGGGAAAAATCTTATGTTATTTAGTTTATTTCTCACTTTGATGAAAGTGAGCCAGTTTTCTTAATGTTTATTTGAGTTTACAGCCAACAATAAGGGTTTTTTTTTGTTTTTGTTTTTTTTTCCATTTATTTATTTTATTGCATTTTAGGTTTTGGGGTACATGTGAAGAACATGCAAGATTGTTGCATAGATAAACACGTGGCAGTGTGATTTGCTGCCTTCCTCCCCATCACCTACATCTGGCATCTCTCCCCTTGCTATCTCTCCCCAGCTCCCCACCCTCCACTGTCCCTCCCCTGTTTGCCCCCAACTGACCCCAGTGTGCAGTGCTCCCCTCCCTGTGTCCATGTGTTCTCATTGTTCAACACCCACCTATGAGGGAGAACATGTGGTGTTTGATCTTCTGCTTTTCTGTCAGTTTGCTGAGAATGATGGTTTCCAGGTTCATCCATGTCCCTACAAAGGACACAAACTCATCGTTTTTGATGGCTGCATAATATTCCAT